CAGAAAATCCAAAACGCATTAAAGTCTAATGTCATCCTTTCGTGACTCAGTCTTGAAAACCTTTTTAGGAAATATCAACAATCAGCAGCTTAAATCCTAAAACTCTGCTAACTTGTGCTCCTCCTTAGCACCTGAAAAAGGGGCTCATCGTATGCAAAACTGTAAAAATCTGGCAGCAAGAGACCATGAAAACAGTGACATTTAAAACTGTAAAAAGCTGTGAAAATCATATTAAATCAAATGTCTGCAGATAAGGACATTTTTGGAGGACTAAATTCATAAAACTGTAGTATTACTGTCACATAGTGTAAATATTTTAATGTATTTTTGAGTTTTTGCCTGTTTGCCAACAAATTAACTACATTTTTTTTCCTATGATTTACTGGTCATTATCGGGATGTCACAAAGCAGAAACAAAGCTGTCGAATAAAAATACTCACAGTTTTTCCATCCCTTATATATACGATTGTTGCTGGGAATTAAAGCAAATAAATATACTTTTGCTGCTTTAAAAACACTGAAAAAGTGTAATTTAATGGTTAAAAATGTGAATGAATTTGCACACATTATTGATGTTATTGGCAGTTTTAGCTTTTTTTTAGTTAACATGTAAATTAATGCTTTTTGCTATTTGACTACATATTATCTGTATTGTCACAAAACTGTTTTTTTTAAATCCCAATTTTTAAATTCTTTTGTACATAATATCTGTAAAACAATGAGACTTTGGTGATTTAAATGGAGTAAAATTGCATAATTTTCTTGTCAAAGTTGTATGAGAATTTGTAAAAATACTGATTTTTGATGCAGATGTTTTTTATAGTTTTTGCCTTTTTTTTAACAAGCAACTTAAGACATTTTTTTCTGTAAATCAGCAATTTAACAAAACAGAGAAAACCTATAAAATAACTGTAAAGTGTTCCAAAAAATGGCAGTTAAAGATGTTCATCTTTTACAGGATATAAAATGATTGTTGCTGGTCTCGAATCACGTTTAAGGAAAATGAAGGAGGGATGAAAACGTCTGGATTTGTGGTTTGAGTCTATTTTTAGTTTGTGCTCGGACTCTGGTCCAGACTGTTTTGGCTGCAGCTCCGTAATTAGAGACAAGAAAAGCTGCTGCTGAAGGATGTGTCGCCGTCAACACGTTCATTCTGCAGTTTCTTCTGCATCTTTGCTGCACAACATTCACTTTAAAGCAGTGAAGCTGGTGGACAGAACTAAAAACTCCACAGATCACAAAACACCAACAAGTACAAAATGAGACTCTTGAATTAACTTCGTGTTTCTCCTCAAACACTTTGAACCACAGTGAGTTCAACAACTGCAGACATTCAAGTGCTGAAATTGACACATTCTTTAAGGCCGTCGGATTTAACGCTGGCTATGTTTAAACTGGTCATTCTCTGGTTCTGTTTGTCAGTCGTTTGAACCTCACACACCCACAAACTAAACAGAGCCAGCAATTTAACTGAAGTTAGCTCTGACAGTGATCCTGATAGTAGCGGTATATCATGCTTATCTCAAAGTTTACATGCTCAAAAACACAAACTGAATTGCATCCAGCAGTTTGGGATTTAACAAGAAAGTTTAGCTGACATTTATTGGAAAATATGGAAAGTTTTATAAACACAGAAATATGTGATTAAACCCTAAAATTCATGATTAAACACACATTTTGTTTTTTGTTTTTTTTATTTCAGTAGTAAAACAAAAATAAAAGTAACTATAAAACCTAAAATTAATTAATTATAAGGTAGTTCATGCATGACGTTAGAAGAATTATCAACAACAAAAATCATAAAATAAACTTAAAATATACACCTTAAAATGCTGGATTAAATCTGACGGTACATCATATACAAAGCTAAACAAATAAAGAGGTAATTCAGGATTATACAAATGTGGGGTTAAACCCAACCATCTGGGATTAATCTCGGAAATTTATGATTAAATCCTAACCCCCTACATGACTTTGAGCATTAAACAGTCAACAGCTTAAATACACTTTAGCTATGACAGATCCTACAATTCAGGATTCATCTCAAAATTTCAAGTTTACAAAAAATGTTTTTTCTGAACTTTGAAAAAAAACCAAAAAACATCAATATTCTAAGTTTAATTCACAAAGCTTCTCTATTCAAAATAGTAAATTATACCAGATTTAATTCATAACACTAAAAAACTATATAAAAAAAAAAAATTAACATATTTTGGGCTAAAGTCAGGCTTAAACAATGAAATTGGGGATTAAAATCAATCATGCATTAAAACTGAAATTTATGGATTAAACCCTGAAACTTGGGTTTTATGTGACTTTTCATTCCTACAATTCAAGATGAATGTTAAGAATAAGCTAAAAATTTCAGGGGAAAAAAACATTTTGTAAACACAAAATATAGGATTAAACATTAAAACTTAGAGTTAAACTCACATAACGGACTCTTACAAGGCCGCTGTGTTCAAAATTTAAAATATTACAGGATTTAATTTCACTAATTCCCAAACCTCAACACAAAACAAAGCCAAGAGTTAGAAACAAAGTATTTACTGCACTGTGAAAAGCATATAGCAGCTTTAATTGAAGTAAATTCCAGTTTTGAATTAATCTCACTATCTTGTGCACCTCTGTGATTACTTTTGTGGATTCTATCAAGTTTGAATTACGCTTCGTCTCTTTTATTCAGATTTCTTCACTTTACCTGCTGTTAAACACTTAAGCTGGAGAATGTGGAAACGTAAAGTTTACTTTTCCTAAAATGAAGCTGCAGCGATGCTCATTTAAATGCATCTAACTTAAACCAGTGGCATTGATGTTACTTGTTGACTTAATTTAGATAAACCTAAATCAGCTTCCAATTGTAGCTTGTATCAGTGCAACTTCCCATGATGCTTTGGGTCTGAGTTTGCACAGATAAGGAGCTTTTTTTTGCAGTGTAAATTTGCTGAAGGAGTAAACCAGGAGTCTTGAGGAGGTTTTCCGATGCTCCACATCCACAGTGTGTCTTTGTGTGTCGGCTCTTTGTCCGTCACTGTGGCTTTCATTCATCTAAACTGCGCTCAAGTTTAAATATGAAACACTCCAGCTTCCTTCCCAGTTCGCATTCCTCGAACCGCTGTGACCGAAGCTGCTTTACTTCCTCGTCAAAATGCCCTTTTTCCTTAAAGACTGGGCTCTTTGTTTCAGCCACGATTAGCTGGCAGATAGAAAGGCAGGCAGGAGGATATTTGAGACTATTGTGGACGTCTGCCTGGGAGTTATTCCGCTGCCAGATGTACAAACGTCATGAGACGAGGAAAAACTCCAGAACCCAGCAGCGTTTGCTTTACAGAGGCACCTATGAGCTCAGCGACTCTCGCGACCTTTGGCCTCTTGAAAACTTAGCCGGGTTTGAAAATTCATGAGCACCAATCAGAAAGCAGGAAAGTCATCAACCAGGAAGCTGCTCTCCAGTCTAACGGTTACAGCAGCACCTGAACCGGTTTTAAAGGCACAACAGGAACTTTTCCCCAAAAGCCTGAAGCTCCACAAAATCAAAAACAAAACGGATGGATGACTCAGGTGTTGCTGCCGTTACCTGGCTGACGTCATCGCAGCGAGGTGTGGAGGCCGATAAATCTCAATTATTAGCAGTGAGTCACACCTGGAGGAAGATTTACACAACCAGAGCGACAGTAAACTGCATTCTTTATCAGAGGACAAACCCACCTGAGCCGCTCACACACCTGTCAGAGCCACAGAAATCTTTAGGACAGAAATTCATCAAATCTAGAAATTCAAGTCAGGGAGGCCTTTCCAGGAGGATAAAACCACAGTTTTTAGTCTCAGTCACTCTTTCAGTCTGTAAAAACTACCTTCACATGTCCAACCAACAGTCCAAAACCCAAAGATATTTAGTGTAAAGTCGCAAACGACAAAAAGAAGCAGACCAATCCATAAAAACAAGAAGCTACTTATACACTGTATAGATCACTATTTATTTCTACCTTTGTATGTACATCTTATATTGTTATCTACTGTGTTCAGTCTGTTCGCTCAGTTTATCCTGTAAAACGCTGTATTTTATGCACTTTTCTTTTGCATTTCTAGTTCGATACTAAACTGCATTTTGTTGTTTTTGTACCTTTACTCTGCAAAGATGACAAAGTTGAATCTAATATAACATAATCTACAATGAAACAAGGCAAAATTAAGCACTTTTGCCCCGAAAACTCAAAAAACACAAGATTTTCCAGCTGCTAATTCAGATTTTCAACTTCTTTTAATACATATGTGGAAATTATATCTGTGCACAAGGTTTTCTAGATAAAAATCAAGAAACTAAAGACAAATGTGAACTTCAAAATGAGCATTTGCATGTCAAATACCAGACATTTGCTTCACCATAAACTGCAACTACAACCTCAGCAGCGGATCAAACTGAATAACTTCAAGAGGCATCCAGACTGAGAAGTGTTGTGCTAATAAAGAGTCAGGAGCAGCCTCATAAATTAACCCACAGTTTGCAAACAGAAGATCAGAGAGATAAAAGCTAAAGCAAACTGTCTTTTATCACACTTCCATTCAACAAGTGGCCAATCAAAGCCCCTCCTGGGACTCAGACTTCTATTAATAGCTTTGCAAGACTTTTCTTTTTTTTTTTTTTCTTGGAGGAAACCAGAAAAGAGGTGCGGAAATACCAGAGATCCACTGGGACCCAGTCCAGCCCCCTCTGAAGGTCCATGTTTCACCTTCAGTGTTGTTTTTTGAATGAGTAATAATGACTTTAATGAACTTTATGGCACCTTTACAGCAGCTGATAGTAGAGAGTGTATGCTGCTCAGTTACATGTCAGGTCCTCATTTTAGTGTCTTACAATAAGTTTTTTAAGATCAGTGGTGAGTTGATTGCACTTCATGTGGTTTAAATCCTTCTAATTTATCTAGAATATTGTCTATTCTAAGTTTGAAGACAGTTTTCAGCACAACAGAGTGGGATCATGAACCTCAGCAGCTTCTTACCTCCGTGAAGAAATTATCCATCGTTATTATAATCCTCGAGGATTTACTGAGTGGAAACCGCGCGTCCCGTCGATCCAACTCATGTGTTGTTAGTGTGAATCCCAGAAACAAAAACACAGAAGAAATCCCAGAGTTTCAGCGCATCATCATCATCATCATCATCATCTTCACCATGATCCTGTTCCTGCTGCTGAGCGGCTGCAGGACGCTCCGTCAGTGTGCAGCTACAGCAGATTCACTCTTTGTTTTCTGGGTTTCCTTTTTCAAAACATAAAAATAAAATCCTGTCCTCCTCCAGCAGCCCGGTGCGGATCCTCCTTCCGGTCTGCGTCCACGTTGCGTCTCCGGTGCGTCCTCTCCGGTGGTGCTCGGTTTTTGTTTTGGGACCAGAGTATCGGTGCAGGAGCAAGAAACGAGCCGCCGGTCAAAGTTTGGAGACGCTCAGTGAGAGAGAGAGAAGCCGGTGGATCCTGGTGGTGAAGCTCCTCCTCTCCTCCAGCCTCCTGCCTCCTGCTGCTGATGCCTCTCTGACTCCTCCTGCTGTCAGAGCTGAAACAGCATCAACAGAACCCAAGTAACCAACATCTGATTCAGTGCACTGTTGCAAGAGTTAAACCAAAGAATCCAAATAACTGATTTAAATAAGGCTACTAACATTGTTTTGACATGTTAGACTGACTTTATTAATCCCAGAGGTAAACAAGTAAAAGGACAACACGGAATATTAGGATAAGTTAAACAAAGTAAAATAAAATAAGATGAAAATATAGAAAATATCATATAGAAAAAGTCAACAAGAATACAGAATATTGTGCTTAGATTGAAGCATTGAAAAGTCTTATTGCTGTTGGGAGGAATGACCTCCTGTGACCTTCCTTGCAGCAGTGGGGTTGTATCAGTCTGTTGCTGAAGCAGCTCCTCAGATTGTCCACAGTTTTATGGAGGGGGTGTGAGATGTTGTCCATGATGACCTGCAGCATCCTCTGCTCCACCACCTCCTCCAGGGTGACCAACTGACAGCCAATAACAGACTGGGCTTTGCTGATGAGTTTGTTCAGTCTGTTGGCGTCCTTCGCCTTGATGCCCCGGCACACCACAGTGAAGAAGATGGCGCTCACCACCACAGACTGATGGAACATCAGGAGCATGCGGTTGCATACATTGAAGGACCTGAGCCTCCTGAGGAAGTAGAGCCGGCTCAGGCCCTTCTAGTAGACAGCCTCTGTGTTGGTGTTCACATAATAATCAATTTAACACTGTGCATAATTTAAACTCAGATTTCTGCCTTTGTTGGTTTAATTATAATTGAGGCAACTAAACGAATTTGGTTTGTTAACTTCATTTTTCTCGATCTTCAGCTTAAAATTATGGAATAAAGGCACTTGTTTCTACCATTTAATAAAATGCATGGTAGCAAGATTTTATTTTATTTTTTTAATTAAAAAAAATAAAAATTTTGATATTGTGAGTAATTCCAAACCTTTGTTTTCTCATAGAACAATGTGATCACAGATGTTCCTTTCAGTTCGTCCACACTCTAAAAGAAGTAATTAAGAGGACTTTCTGCTGCACACATTATTTTAATGGTTGTGTTGATATAATGATGTTGCATTAACTTCACACTGTGTGAAACGTAATGAAATTGCCTTGATAACTTAATTTATTTTTTTGCTCTGAGTTCAGGAATTTAAATCTCTAAGAAGCAATTTATGGGACCAGTTTCAACTGCTCAACAAAGTGCATGTTTGCAAGATAATCAATAAATAAATACATAAATAAATCAAATGTACTGATATATATAACCCTTGACGTTGCAAGCATTATGTTGATTGGTTAAGCTGACATAATATTGTTGCATCAGTAGTTTAAACTTACATTTCTGCATTAGCTGACTTAAAACTGAATTCAAGTCGAGTTAGCTTAAACCAAGTCTGTAAAACAGTAATTTAAATATTAAACTAAAACATAAACAGTTAATAAACTAACACTATAATGACTGAATTTTATACATCACCACCATTTAAACCAATTAAAAACTCATTTAAAAGATCCCACAAGGTGAAAATCCATCCTAAACTTTGTGGTGTCAAATAAAAGATATGAAGATTTTCACTTCTGCCATTTCTATCTCTCACCAACAAACCAGTAGTCCACCAGGTAAACCGTTGTATAGCTCCGCCCCCTCACTGCTTCCAGGTGAACCAATCAGAATGAGCAGCTGCCTCACCAGATTCATTTACTTCCTACAGCTGATTCTGCTAAAATCTAAAATATCTGATCCACAAGCAAAACGCACCAAATGTTCTGCTGCAAGAGTGAACACAAGAGGCTTAATGCACTGCCAGCATCTGAGGAACTGAACACTCAGCAGATTACTGGCACTACTGATGGTAACGTCCCCACAACAATAGCAGAGTCCTTAGTGTTAGCATGTTGTGTGGTTAACATTAGCTACAGTACAAGCTCTGTGGAAACTCACATGTGGATTCAAAACAGGGTTTAGATTTAAACCCCAAGAAATAACAAAGTTACAAAAGCAAATGCTAAATTCTGGGTCCACAAAAGAGCCCAAATGAACAGAACCTAACCAAAGACATGGCGACCAAATAACCACGCAAACCATCCACACTGGACAAACAACACTCTTCACTGACCTGACCTACTGGGAACAAAATGGGATTCATTTCCAGGCTGATCAAACCAAATGAGCACAACACGGAAGACATAAAACACAAAAGCCTCAACGAATTACAAAAACCACAAAACAACACAGTTTGTCAACATAGTCAGTAAAAACAATAATGAACATTTCCAAAAAATGTCTAAATACACAACATAAGTCAAGTGACTGATGCAATATTTCAATCAAATGAACCCTGCCCCCCCCAGACACTTGGTATAGCCCAATTGGCAGCTCTGGTATAAAAACCTGGTGCTTGTTGAGCACAGATGTTTGCCCAAAACCAGCAGCAGAAGCGCGGATACTCAAGCTGCTGCTGGATTTTTTCTGTTATTCGCACTAACGACACACAGTTGGACGCACAGTTTCCACGCAGAAAATCATCGAGGATTAAAATAACGAGGACAATTTCTTCACGAAGGTAAGAAGCTGCTCAGATTCATGTCATCTGCTTGGTTGTGTTCTTTGCTGGATGCTTTAAAACAGGAAACATCATTTAAACTTGCTCATGTGGCGTCTGAACTTAAACAAAATGTTGAATGGACAAAAGTTAACTTGAGTACTTAAACAAATGCGAAATAAACCACGAGTGTGTTGTTTGAAATGAAAAATTGTGTTATGCATGTGTTTTTATAATCGCAATACGAGTGTCAGAAGTGTTTTAACTCAAAACTGAAGTGTTGTATGTGGTTACCGACTTGGTTGGATGACTGTGCAGATGCGGATGCTGATTATTGGTAATTATCAAAGGCCAATAACCAATATTTGGAATGCACATATATTAAATGTAATGTTCTAGCAGCATGTGATAGCAGAGAACCTGTTCATGGCTTCTTCATTAAATAGGGTGACTTTAAGTGAATATGTAATCTATGATCCACTGAAATTGATCAGTTTGTCTCTTCTTTGTTTTCTTAATCTTACACTGTTCTATCACTTTTATTTCCCAATAAGGACCAGATTTTAAATATTATTTATTGTTTTCCAGACTTGTTAATCTGTGGCCTCGTGCTACCTTAGCAGCTAGCCATTAGCGTAGCCTTACTGTGAGAGGAGCTAATTTCCTGGTTTGAGGTGACGGCTTGTGTTTCTGGTTCAGTTTTTGCAGTTTCTGCTTGAGAGACCACAGAGTGACTGTAAATATCAGCCATGATAATCAGTCTGTCCTGAGTGGAAATTTAATTTTGAACCAATAACGAGGACTGGTTGTCTTTCTGTGTTTTCATGTTCAACCTAAACATCAGCTGCTGTTTCCATCTGTTATCTTCTCTCCTGCTCTCTGTGCTCACATAAACTGCATTTTAATACGGCTGAACTCACAATAAAGCTGCTCTCATTTACACATTTTTCTGTTTCTGCAGCTTAAATTCAGATTTTATAACATCTTCTGACAAACTCACCAAACACAGGAGTTAAAAACGACTGTGCAGAGAATAAACAAATATTTCCATGAGAAACAAACGCTCAGAGAAAAAGCCAGAAGCGATAAAAAGTACTGGTCGCTGTTTTGCAGGTCAGAGAGAGTTTTCTTCCTTTACAGGGTGGTGCAGCAGCAGCTCATATGTTTCATTTAGTTGAATTTAGTTGTACAGTCATGGTGAAATGAACCATCTGTGCAGCATTTGGAGCTGAATAACTCAAAGACACACTGTGTGGACACATGAGAATGAAAGTGGACACAATATGGGACCTTTAAAATCAAAAACAGGAAGACTGTGTTTTGTTTTATCTGTTAACTCTAACAATAGAAATAAAACAAGTTTACTTATATAGTACCTTTTTGCAGCACAGAGTCACAAAGTGCTTAATGAAAGATGGATCAATAGTCGTATTAAAAATAATAAGAACATACCGATTAAATCCTACGTTATAGTAGGTGGGACAAGATCAGTTTAACACACACTAAATTCTCATTTTGTTTTATAGCTTCATACGAGTGAGAAATCTTCTCACATCAATGTGTTCTTTTCATGATGCAAACTCCAAACGTAATCATGATTTATCTAAAGGATCTTCTCGTCTGCTTTTGTTGACTTTCCACTTTGTCAAGAAGATTCAGTAGTTGTTGGATCTCTGAGTGCACTGGTTAAATACTTTGAAGGATCTTTTTTCTATTTAAAATCCATTCTGAAATCCTTTTTTTTGTTTGATCTGTTAAGGTGGTGGTTGGATGAGTTGACTTGTTGTGGACCAGAAGTCTTTATAATCAGATAATGAGCTTCGTGGTTAAACATTAACATTCCAGTCAGAGGTCAACAACACTGAGACCTCACTTCTATCTGGTTTTCTCCTTGACTTACTCGACACCCTGAGTGACCTTCGACTCCTTCTGGTTCGGACCCGGAGGCTTTGCCTTCTGAAACTTAGCGCCCCCTACTGCTGACTTTTTTTGTGTTTGCATTTAAAGGGTAAAGCTGCGTTATGAGAGGGTGTTTTAAAGTGTTTGTCCTTCTGGCTCAAACCTCACGAGGCTGCAGGAGGTTTCCGAGGTGCTCCAGACGATGTTCTTGTTCTCACTGAGGGGCCTTTGTGTTCCATGTTCTCGGCTTGTTTTGAACTTATGCAACACTAAAACCACAATGTTTCATGTGGTGGGTGATCCTGTGACTGTCAGCAGCTTGTAAGGAGTAAAAAACAATCTGCAGGCAGAAACAGGAAGAAAGAAAATACACTGTGTTTATAAAAAAGGAGGAGATTTATGTTGGCATGACAGGTCTGCAGCAAGGCTTGTTTTAGCTCATTTCACACTGGGAAAAAAAAT